CATATATCTGCTTGGGTGTCAGTTATATTAACTGTTCTTGAATGTCAAGAATGTTTTGTCTTTCTGTTCTACATTAGAAAAATGGGAGGTCAGTATATCTTATAGTATTGATAAAGTTAAAACTTTCTTAGGCTTTACATTCCTCATAGATAAAAATGAAATAATAATAACACTGTTCAGATAGTGGGAGTTATATATGAATATATCTAAAATATTTCTTTTGCAATGTAGCAATAGTATGTGCTTAGTGGTGGTAGCTGCATTTATTCTGTAAGACAGCAGCATAATCTTCCTGGTAACCTAGCACCTTTTATCTGACTTGGTTATAGTAATGGCAGCATTCTGATAAGAAGCTGTGCTGCCAGTTTGAAGGCATGCAGTCTGAATCCATCAGCTGCTTGCCCCAAGGGAAAAAGATGGGTGATCCTTTCTTGTGGGATCTACTACCTTTGAAAATCCGCTGGGGTCAGCTGTGCTTCAGTTCCGACTTGAAAATACCTAACAACAATCAAGGAAGCATATATGCCTGTTACCCTGATGTCATTCCACACATGATCAGGTCTTCTGTCATTAGTGTTCAGTTCATCAGATCTATTCTTGAGATGGTTTTTAAATTCATTTGAGATACTTGTGATCATACTTTGGTTCTCAAAAACATCAGGCATAAACAAAGCAGAAAATCAGTACAAAGATAGGAAAGAAACAAATATCCAAGATGGATTTCAGAAAAGACTCTGAAACTTGCATTAGACACTAGAATATAATGAAGCCAAACCAAAGGGAAGAAATGTTAAAAGAGAGTTAAACAGAAGATTTCAAAGAATAGCTAGAGAAGACACAAGCAAAGAATGAAAAAGAAATATGCAAAGAGCAAGAGTTAGACTTCTTTCAAGCTAAAAGAACTGGAGTACGCAGAGTTATTGTACCAGAAGAAATTACTTGACAACAAACCATTTCAGGAAGTAGTGTATGCTCAAGAAACAGTGATATTGAAGGGAAAAGTCCAGAGCACTGGTGTGAATAAAGCATGGGCATTGAATAAGGCCCCATGAGTTGATAGAATATCAATTGAAGTGTTTCATCAAACAGATTGCAGGCCTGGACGTATTCACTAGCCTATGCCAAGAAATTAGGGAGAATGCTACTTGGCCACCTGACTTGAAGAAATCCATATTCTCATTAAAAAAAAAAAGGAGATGATCTAACAGAAGGTGAAGATTATCTAACAATATCATTAATACCACGTGCAAGTAAAGTCTTACTTTGTGTTATTAAATAAGAGGGAAATTTTAGAAATTCATACTGGATTCAGAATAGACTGTAGAATGACATATCATTGCTCATCTCAAATAGATCTTGGCTGAAAGCTAAGAACACCAGAGGTAAAAATGTTGGCTTATATTTTATTGAGTGTATAAAGGCATTTGGTTGTATGGATCATAAGAAATCATGAAGAATATTGAGAATAATGGGATTCCCAGAACACTTGTTCATGCTTTTGCATAGACCAATATGCTTGTCCACACAAGGGAACACTGCATGGTTTAAAATCAGGAACTGTCAAAACCACCCCACTCAGAATAGCAAAATTTAACAGAACAACAAGCAACAAATGCTGGTGAGGTTATGGAGAAACTGGAACCCTTATTCACTGTTGGTGGGAGTGTAAAATGGTGCAACCACTGTGGAAGTCGGTATGGCTCTTTCTCAAAAAGTTGCAAATAGAGATACCATTTGACCCAGCAATTCCACTACTGGGAATATATCCCAAAGAGATCATAACTGACATCCAAGCAGATATATGCACACCCATGTTTATTGCGGCTTTGTTCACAATAGCAAGGAGTTGGAAACAACCCAGGTGCCCATCAATAACCGAATGCATAGAGAAGCTGTGGTATGATCACACACTGGAATACTACGCTGCATTGAAAAACAAGGAACTCATGCCATATTATTCAAAATGGGTGAGCCTGGAGGACATTATGCTGAGTGAAGTATCTCAGTCACGAAAGGACAAAAACTACATGGTGCCACTGTTGTAGAGCAGGACTTATATCAGGGTTGTGGGGAAACTGAGAAAGATGGGTTCAGTAATGTATACTGCATTGAAACAGATGAGGGGAAAACTGTTTAAAATGGATATGTGATTAGGTATTTTTGTCATGATATGGGAGTCCAGAGCGAAGGCTACATAGTCGAGTGGACCTGGGGGGAGGGATTATAAAACAATGAAAGAATTTTTCTTTTACTTTTCCAAGAGGGGAGTGTATTGGGGGGAGGGTTGGGAGGGGAGGAAAGTGCAACAATGAATGAATGGAAATCCAAAATCTCTGTAAATTCTCATTGACATTAATAATAAAAAAAAATTTTTTTTACAATCACATGCAAGTAAAAGACTGCCTAAAGATTATCTATGAATGGCTGGAAACCGTAAATTAACAGAGAATTGCCAGAAGTTATACTGGATTTAGACAAGATTGTGGCACCAGGAATACCATTGTTGTTGTTGAATGGTTTTTGGCTGAAATCAGAGACTACCAGAAGAATTTCTATTTGTTTTTATTAACTGCCAACGTATTTGACTTTGTAGTTCATAAGAAATTATAGGTAACATTGAACAGAATGGAGTTCTGTAACTCTTAATTGTACTCATGCAAAACCTATTCTTAGACCAAGAAGCTATTGTCCATACAGAGCAAGGAAACACTGCATGGTTTAAAACCAGGAAGGATGTGCATCAGTATTGTATTCTTTCATACCTGTTCAGTATGTATACTGAGCACATAATTTGAGAAGCTGGATTTCATGAAAAATAATATGGCATCAGAATTGGAAGATTCATTAACTGCCTGCATTAGGCAGAGAACATACCCTTGCTTGCTGAAATGGTGAGGAGGACTGACTTGTAGCTCTTGCTGCAGAAGGTTAAAGACTACAGTGTCGATTTAAGCCTTCAATATGGATTACTTCTCAACATCAAAAAAACAAAAGTCCTCAACCACTTGGCCAACAGGCACTGTCATGATAGAAGGAAAAAAGATTGAAGTTTCAGCGATTTCATCTTGCTAGGATCTATAGTCCTTGCTAGGATCTGAAGCTAGGTGATTGCTTTTCCAATGTGAAAAAATACCTAACTACTTTGTTTTGTGTATTTTTATTTGTGTTTTGCTCATTTGCCTTTTCACCAGATCTGTGTACTCAGTTTTCTAATAATAGCTGGTTTTGGATGCATAAAACAGTCAATCTTCACTTACTCTTATTTTACTATTTCTAATATGCTGTTGGATTATATTTTTTGATATTTTGCATCATATTAATCAATGAAATTAGACTTTTAATGAATTTTGTGAGGCATTAGTATCGTTATTTTACTTCATATACTTCCTTTTTTTAAATGTCCCATATTCTGTGTTTTTGTATAGCTGTTAAGTATTATATATTCCTTAAGTATTTGATAAAAAAACCTTCTTAGCCTGGTACCTTTTTTTGTTTGGTTGGAGGTGAGGAATGTACAGGGTAAGCTTATTGCGGTTTAATATTTTTCATATTGAATCAGGCTTCACTTGGTTTGAAGTTTTATAGTTTATGCATGTAAAACTTTGCTTTGTAGGGCACAGGAGCTGCAAGTTTTGATGAATTCGGCAATTCTAAGTACCAAAATCGGAGAACAATGAGTAGTTCTGATAGGGCAATGATGAATGCGTTCAAGGAGATCACTACCATGGCAGACAGAATTAACCTCCCTCGAAATATCGTTGTAAGTTCCCGTCTTCCTCTTTTAAATCGTTTGACATTGACTTAGTGTAATAAAAAGATATGTAACATTTTGATATTGTAATTAATAAAATGGCAGAGTTAATTAAACTCTCTCTCTCTGCTTTGAAGGATCGAACAAATAATTTATTCAAGCAAGTGTATGAACAGAAGAGCCTGAAGGGAAGAGCTAATGATGCCATAGCTTCTGCTTGTCTCTATATTGCCTGTAGACAAGAAGGAGTTCCTAGGACTTTTAAAGGTAACTTTTATTTATGTAGATAAAGATGTCTTTACCTCTATCACATCCAAGTAATAGACCTAAGTCGAGTAACTTTGATGCTAACAAAGGTCTTTTGGTGCATGTTGTCATGTACTTGAGTAACATTTGCTAATGCCTGCTTATTTTGTACCTTGAAAACAATTTCCTACCGTTCTTAACCAGGTCCCTCTGTGGATATTTTTAATGCTTTTGAGGTCTTTGACTGTATTTTTCAAGCATTGACAACCTGGCATCTTAAGTCACAGTAGATTTTGACTGATACATTTGAAGAAGGATAACAGTTTTCCTGCTACCACAAGTGTCTACAGGTCTGAGAGACAAGTCTGAGAATTTTTTTCTTGCTCAATAGTGTTTGTGCTTTCATTTCTACATTTGAAACTTTGACAAAACTATCATTTTTTCCTCTGTTTTTTTAGTTCCATGGAAGTGTGCTAATGTGTTCACTCAGTGTGGCAGTCATACTTCCACCTACTGTCAATGCCAGGACTCAGTTTAGTTTAAGATCGTAGTTCTTATTATTATTCTTGTATTAATTTTTTACATATTTTCTTAGGTTTAAGTAAAGAAGTGGTGATTATCATGTTTGTAATTTCAGTTAAAATACGCTAAATTTATTCTACAGTTAATTCTAAATTATACAGTTAAAATAGGTTAAATTTATTCTGAAAGTAGTTGATTTCTTAAAGTAATGGTCAAATGTTTGATCTCATTTAGATATGACCTATAATAGATTGCATATACACATGACCTTGTGTAGCTTAAGTATTTTCACTTTCATCTACTTGATTTGATCACAACAGATTAATATATAAATATCAAAATAAGTTTTGATTAATTAAAAATACTTGTGTGAATTAAAACTTAAGAAACATTGATATTTTGTAAGATTAAGACCTACATTTAGCTATTAAAAACTTTTTAGACTGTGTGGTAAACATTTAAATTAACTGAGAAATTTTAAATTGACTCTATGGGAAGTATCACTGAGAGGATTATAGTTTCATCTTTAAGGCATGATTGAATTTTTTTTTTAACGTGTATTACTTTTATAATCAGAAATTGTAGACTTAAAAATTAACTCTGGATTTAGGTTATATTTTTGTAAAATTTACATTAATAGTGAACTTCTATAACTAATGTGATTTAA